TCACATGATAAGCATCTTCATTATGGGCTAAATTCTGATATCCTTATTAATGTCAAGCAGGCCCTTACTCTATGGCTGTGTCTACATAGGCACCCTTTTCTGAAAAAGGGATGCTAATGAGACCAGTCGGAATTGCAAATGCCGCGGGGGATTTAAATATCCCCTGCGGCATTTGCATGAACATGGATGCCGCTTTTTTCCGGCTCGGGGCTTTGCCGGAGAAAAGCGCCAGTCTAGACGGGATCTTTCAGAAAATAAAGCCTTTTCCAGAAGATCCCTTATTCCTCTTAAAATATTTAAATCCCCCGCAGCATTTGCAATTCCGACTGGTCTCATTAGCATCCCTTTTCCGGAAAAGGGTGCCAATGTAGACACAGCCTATGAGTAGTCCCACTGGTTTCAATAATGCTACTCATAGAGTTGTAATGTCTAGGACATAGACAGCTGGACCACTAATCTTCACTGAGCCTGAGTCGGGAGCAGGACTCAGGGCTAGTACCGAGTCAAGAAATGGGCATCCAAGTCAAGGCACGTCAGGTTCAAAGGCAAGAGTCAGTGGCCAGATGGGACAAAAGATGAGATGTGAGGCAGCAGCATGCCAAAGTCCACACTTCGTGGCTCAGACAGCTCTGCTGATCATCTTCCAGGTTTAAACAGCTACTGTTGGATAATCAGAGGCCTACAGGGTTCTGTTGAACTGAACTCTTCAGGCAGTACTTCCTGCAAAGCCTAGCCCTCCAGTAATTGCTGGGTGTTGCTTCTCCTTGGGCTCATCCTTTGGGGTGGGCCATCAGAGCAATCACCCAGAAAAGTCTGCCAAAGGGACTGCAGTGAGCAGTATTTCGATTCTCACCTGACCTGTCCAGAGAGCAGCTGGGCTGATGGCAGCGACAGGCAGGCAGTCAGCAGTGCTGGGAGGGGAAAATGGGCAGACAGAAGCTGCAGAGGGCAGCTAGACAACCAGCTGGAGCTGGGACGCCCCTCCTCCCCCTGCTCCACATGTGCAGCTGTTGCCGATCCTGTCCCTCTCTGTCCTCCCCAGAGCCACCCCTGCCCATTCTGGATTGGGAATACCCTCCTATCTGCTGCAGCAGGGTGGGGAGAGACTGATGGTGGAGTGACCCTCTTCTGGACCTCTCCCAAGCTGGAGAGATAGGGGGAGGGTAGATCTGTGTATCTTGCTGCCTTTGGTGGCTTGTGTCAGAACACAAACCCTCAGACTCCTGACCTTGAGTGATCTCTTAAAGAGACAGTGCATTCATATGCTCAGGCATGAACAGATTCTTTCCCTCTACCCCCAATACACTGTAGGGCTCCCTACACTCAGGTCATTTCCCCACCGTGGCTATGCTGAGGGCATCAGCAGCTGTGCTTTTCTCCCTTTCCTTGTGCACTCCCTGAGCTGCTTGGAGCAAAGGAGCAGCAGTTCCACGTGGGAATGAGCAGCAGTTCTTTGTGCATCCAGGTGGATCAGTTTCCCCACATGGGTGCAGAAGGGAGATGCAGGGGTTAGAGTGCAGGAGGGTAGGAGTGAAGGGCACAGTGCAGGGCTTAGGGGCACAGAAGGGAATTGCAGGGGTAGGAATGAAGGGGGCTCAGTGCTGGGGTTAGGGGCACAAGAGGGAGGTGTGGGGAGTAGAAATTAAGGGAGCTCAGTGCAGGGGTTGGAACACAGGAAGAAGTGAGGGTATTAGGGAGCAAAGGGGGCATAGTGCAGGGACATGCAGGGTTTGGGGAAAAGGGAGGGTGGGGAGACTAAGGAGTCTATGAGGGACGCGGGCACCAGGGCCATGTGGGCCAGTGGCACCTGAATGCAAATTCATCCAGGGTAAATTTGCCCTGCTTCGCCTAGTTCAGAGGTGGGGAACCTGCAGCCCTTGGCTTGCCTGGATCCTACCCCCAAGGGTCGGGGTTCCCACTCCATGGCATTGGGGTGCCTGTGCTGGCATTTCAGCTCCTCTGCTATCCCACCATGGGGCTGGAGCACACAAAATCTACTAGCCTAGCAGTCAGCAGCCCCCAGCCTAAAAAAGGTTCCCCGCTCCTGTCCTAGTTTCTCAGTGGAAACATAAAAGTATCAGTCATCTAAGACCCTACTGCCCCAGGTCATGACATATGAAAAGTAAGGCACTATTCAGTATGAAAATAGATCTGGCCCTTTATCAACATCTTGAATAATACCTGGATGTTCTTGGTTCCAAAACATAATTAAGGTGGAAAATATCTTGTATGAGCCAAGTTCTGTGAGGTGCAGGCTTCCCTTCATTCCATTTATTTTTAACATAGCTTGAAGGGGCTCAGCACCTCACAACAGAAGCTCAGACAGCCTGTTGCAGAACCAGGCACTAAATGAAAAGGAAAAGAAGTAATACATGGCTTCAAATCCTAAAAGCTATGTCCCATTTCCATAGAATTCATGTTATTTATGCAACAAACAAAACAATGTTGTTTTCTTCGATATTTACTCTCCACATACATTATTTGTGACTGCAGTTTAGCAAATTCTCTATTCTCCATGGACAAATCTGGTTCCAGACATTTATTCTCTTTTGTACTATGTAATTTCTTGAATTGGCACTAGCTAGCACTCTTCTTGGCAATCTCAGCATAGAGATTGTCACCAGGTGGATGCCTCCTGAACACCACCACTTGGCCAACAACCCTCTGCCTTGGTTTCCCCCTTTAAGAATATTTTGTTATGACCCACAGACCCTTTTGCCCATTCACATCCCTTCTGAACTTCTGATTTATTAAATTAACAAACATTCAAAGTAAAGTTTTCCAGGCCTTCCTCAAGTCCAGTCCACTATATCCCTATCAGGTCACTCCCATGCTGTTCCTGGCTGTAATCTCACTCTGAAAGTCCCAGATTCTTCTGCTGGAGCCTCCTCTCACCCATCAGCCTCAATAACCTACTCAGTTCTCTGTGAGAACTCTCACTCTGTCATTTCTTGCTGTTCTTCATAGGAGAATCAGATGATCCCTGCTTGGATGTGCCTCCTTAGAAATCAGGGCTAGCAGCCCGCAGGCCTCTCATCCATGAATTGCCAAGCCACATTGTTGTAGAGACCAAGAATTTGAACAGGTCACAGAGCCTGGGCTACTATCTCACTCCTAGCAGTGGTCTCTCCAGAGTAGAATAACGGCCTTTTGACATTGCTGCTCTGCTCTGCGATGTGGCTAAAGTGAGGACTTTAGGGTGGACTTCTCACAAGCGTTCTGTATTGGCCTAACTCTGCTCCCACTGAAATCAATGATAAAACACCCACTGATGTGAAGGGAAGCAGTGTTACTCCAACAATGAACACTGGTGAAAATCCCATCCTTAATATGCTACCCCCAATCGAGCACCATTTTTTTTTTAATTTCAGAAAAACCACACTACCGCCCTGTGTATTTCATCTTTGCCTTTCAACAGAGTATGCACTACACTCACATTAGTGATTCTTATTTAAAGCAGCAACAATAATACGGTTTTTTATCACCAGGAATGGACTGTGATATTACGAATAGGTAATGTAAGAAATAAAAGCAGGGGAATCATTTCAATAGTTCTCTTTTGAGTACTATTTTGGACCTGATCTATACCTCCTGCAGTAAGGGCAAAACTCCTCTTGACTGCAGTGGGACCAGAGTCTTTATCCAGATGTTCAGAACAGAAAGGAAATGTTGGACAATAACTCAAATATAAAATAAAAAAAATCAAAGCCTTACAATGTATCGTTTAATTCTTATTCCTCAATTTAAATATTTGAAGATACAGCTGGTTCAATGCTTGCTTCACTGACTTTGTCAGAGCTATGATAATTTATCCCAGCTGAGGAACATGTCCATGAAACATAATTGCTAGCTCTGGTAATGCATTAAGATGGAACAGTGAAAGCCTAGTTGAATGAAACTCTGCTCAGCAAGTGAAAGTCTCATACTTTTTCAGTGCATTGACACATGACAGCTGTATGTCTGGTTACTGTAGACTTCTGGCATGGAGGATAAAAGTCACAGCACAAAGCCTGAGTAAGAATGTAAACGGAGGTGGAGGGAAGGAAGGGGAGAATCCACCTATATCTTAAATGATTTTTTGTGTCAGTTAGTATACTGTCTAAGCATGGCTGTATCTAGAAACTGCCCTCCCCCATCCCATTAGAGAAGTGCATGGTAGTGAACTATGCTAACTATAACTGTTACGCTAGCCATAGGCTGTAAGGGCAAACAGAGATCACAATGTGATATGGGAATCTGTGATCACTGGACCCTCACATCTTATGCCCCTCTCTCAAATCCTTGCTGTTTTGATCTTTATAGGAGTGGCACAGAATCTAATTTTGCTATAGAAAGGTTTTAAAAAAAGTCCCTTGGTTTCAAAGTCCCTTGGTTCCATCATTTCCCATCCTCCACACAACAGACCCACAATTGTTGTACTGTATTTGGAGGCCTTCCACAGACAAATTTCATATGAATTGAAATTATATGACTGTTCTGGAATCAGTTACATGCTGCAAGTCTCACCAAGATATGTTATGCTATGAAAACCTTTTCTTTCCAATATTAAGCATGCATGGTCATTTAATATCTACCCAATTCTAAAGTCACAGATAGGTAAGCATCTTAACTATAGACTTTTGGAACCATAATATAGTCAGTAAGTAAACTATATGCATCTTTAGTTCTATGCAATGTATCCAAGCATTAGAAACATTTCTTGAAGTAGCTTGCTTTATTTAAGATTCTAAAAATTGTGAGGACATGTTCCAGTGGCAGTTTTACATTAAGGACTAACTATAGCCACTCCAAACCTGAATTTGTGAACCACCACCTCCACAGTCTCCTTTAATTAAGGCCCTCCATGCCACAAACTATAGTTCATTTCATCCAGCCATTCTTTTTCATATGCACGACTAGGATGTATTTTATACAAAAGTTCTTATTCTACTGTCTTGCCGTGTTAGATTCTGCAATTATTTTAGCTTTCTAATCACAACATACTTTTGGGGCTATCTTACCTTCCAGGTGATCCACATAGCAGTATACATCATAAGTTTCATTGGGAAGACGGAATCCATATGTTCTGACTCCTTCCTTTCCCATTTTATCTCCATAGCAGCCAACTCTGGGTTGCCTGATTGGATACCTGGAATATAATACATTAATATTTCTTATTACAGTAAGATAACATTTTAGTGCATTTTAAGTATAAAAAGATCAGGCCTATTATTTTTGTGAATATTGTCAAGAGACAATTTGAACAGCTCACCTGACAGTTTGGTCAGACAACCAGCCAGCATCGCATTGCTCAAATCCATCTTCATATGCAGCTTTCAGCTGATCAGGGTTTGCTATGACAGCACCATTGTCCAGACAAGCCTTCTGAGCATGCTGAAAATTCAGGGTGTACCGACTGCTTGCAGCACGATAGTGAAATACGACACCTACAAAGACAACAAACATAGTGTAATGTCACAAGGGGCACCATATTGGCTATATTCATTATATGGAACCATTATTCTGGTACAACAATAATAAAAAAAGAATAAGATGACTCCCTCCTTGCACAATAATAATAGCATACTATTACAAGATATTCAGTAGTAAGTATGATTGTGTCTCCCTCTAGTGACAGCTGCTAATGACTAGATAACAGTCTATTGCTATCCAGAGGTTGGAGAAATTCTTTTAGTACAAATGGTAAAAACCTATGATTTTGGTGAAGAAGGTCCCTGGTTTGATCTCTCTATGGTGTTTGTTCCTGCAGGCCAGATTAGTTACAAATAAAATAATACAATTTATAAACATCTGAAGATATTCTATACAATTATATTTTCTTTTATGTACTAAAATACTGCAAGCTACATAAAGCTTTCTTGCATTCGAGGATTTCTGATTGTGGTAACTGGAAGAACTTAGAAATTAAAAAATAAAACTTCAGCGCATTAAAACAAGTTTAGTTTTCATTAGGAGCCAACTCTATTCTCAATACAAGTGTAAATCCAACTGACAACTGCAACAGCAGCTGGATATGCATATCTAAGAGCAGAACTGACGGATGTATTGCCTCAGAAGCATCTGGTACTAGTCACTGTCAAAAGACAAGCTGCAAGGCTAAAAAGACCAATGATCTGGCCTACTGTGGCCATTCCTATGTTCCTAACATTCAGTGGGCAGAAGGCTTTTTGCTTTTTTTTTTTTTTTACTGTCCAAAATCATTCGTTCCCGATTGCTATGCCTTTAAAGTTAAAAAACAATGGATGATGCTGCATGATGCTCTTTTGACAAAATCCTAGGGATATCAATGTGTAGTTGCCTATATACAATTAACCGATAAGCCTAGGCTCATCAGCTAATCTTGTTGACTACATGCATTAAAAGCCGGATCCCCCCAGCACTGGCTCTGAGGTGCCACCTGCTCCCCTCCCCACCCCCACATACGAAGCAGACCCTGACTGTGGGGTGGGGGGTCTGAGCTCCCTGCAGACATAGGCTGCTCTGTCCCCCATGGAGCAGCTTCTGTCTGCAGGAAGCTCGGATCCCTGTGGACAGGTGCTGCTGCCACCCCACGCTGCTGCCTTTGTATCAGAGGCAGCAGCACAGAGTGGCAGGCAGCTGGATTGAACAGGGGGCTGGTTTTTAAACTGGCTCTCCTAGTGGATAGGCCCCCACCTGGAACCCTGTGCTGCTGCTTCTGGTAGAGAGGCAGCAGTGCAGGTTGGTAAGGGGCTCCCCAGCAGTGGGGCCAGAACTGATTGACTGCCTGCCCCACTCCCGGGGACTATCAAATAGGTGTGTAACTGATAAGATTCCATGTGGTTACACAACTATTCAATTACCCAATATCTAACATCCCTAAAAAATACTACATATTAGCATATCACTAATCACTGAAGTATCCATTGCACTTTACTCAGCATTATGAATTAGCAAATAAATCTCTGCATTAAATAAAAAAGCAAAGTGAATAAATTACACAGTGTACTTTTTCTTCTATTTTGACAATTTAATTTTATTATAATATTTCATTATGTGCTCTAATATATTATGAAGACATGATGAAGCCTTCATAATATGAGACTTCACTACAGATCTCTGCCATTAAAACTTTGCTGAGAAGAGGGAAAAGACCATTATTTTCTGTATGAACTCAAAAGAGGACAAATTAGAAAAGTGCAGATTAAAGTAGTTCCATTATTATTAGAAATTACTCTGCCCACAAGACCAAAGCCAGATCTGGTGTAATTTCAATGACTTCTCTGGAATTAGTTGCCTTAATAAAAGGTCTGAATGTGACTCATAGATTATATGCATTCATAGATTCATAGACTTTAAGGCTATAAGGGACCACTGTGATCATCTTGTCCGACTTCCAGCACATTGCATACCACAGAACCTCACCCACCCATTCCTGTAATAGACCCATAGCCTCTCGCTGATCCTCAAATCATTACTAAGGCTGTGAGTTTATCACAGAGCTCATGGTCTCCGTGACCTCTGTGACTACTGCAGTGGCCAGTGTGATTGGCCCAGGAGCTACCTGAGCCACTTGAACAGACCTTGTACCAGCTGCACCAGCTGTTGCTGAAACAGTCCTGGACCACTTTGCTCCCTTCCCCCAACAGCAGCAGAAGTTTGGATATGAGAGAGGGGTCAGTGCTGGAGCGTGAGGCAAGAGAGGGGTAGAGGACTCTTGGCAGTGTTTAGCTCAGGGGCAGGGATTTCCCTACCCCCCCCCATGGGAGTGTATACCCCCCCTGAATTTCCTCAATACCCCCTCTCCCAGTTTTGTGAACTAGTTACATGCCAATTTAGTGATTGTTTGGAAATTTGAATTGAAATTGAAACATTAAAAGCATATACAGTGTATGATAAGATATGTGTATCTGAAAAAGTATAATAGATTTGATGAAAAGTATGAACATAGATTAGCTTCCTTATACAACTGTTGTTTTTTATGACAATGTCAGTGCATTCATTTTGGCGATGTTGGCCAACCTAATAATTTCAGATTATGATTGGTAAGCAAATTCAAAATGAGCTGTCCCTGACAGCTAGTGATGAGCTGGGGGGAAAGGCTTCAGGACCAGATTGTATTTACCTAATCTACCGAGGTATCCAGCAAACAGAGCTGTGTTGCCCAAGTGATAGATTTTGGCTGGGGTTAGGTTACAAATCATTTGACTGGGGGGAGGGAGGAATGAAATGTTGTTATACTTATTGTATGAGTAAAGGGCAGTAGAACTGTACTTAACCTGTACTGATTGAAAGCATCAAGAGAGAGGGTGGGGACAGGTGTTTTGCTTGATGGTCTGTCTGTCTGAGTCACAAGTACTATTTGCCCTGCTCCTCTCCACTGTTTAAAGACAAAGCTGATTAGGCTCTTTTGTTTTGTTAAGTGACCATTACAGCTGAAATAACTGGTGACCACTACAGCTGAAATCACTGATAATCAGGTCTAAGTGCTTAGCCCTGCTGTGGCGACAGCGTTCCTGTGGGTACAGTGTTTTTGTGTAAGAGACAGCTCAGACTGCACTAGCAGCGAGGTTCCCCCACTGAGAGCTCAGATGAAATCACTGAGAGCTGGGTGGAACCTCAAGAGACCCACTTGCAGACTTCACAGTGGCAGGTGGCAGCAGAAGGTGACGGTGCAGGGCCATTGGCAACAGAGCAATGGAGTGAACGGTGGCACAATGAACAACAGTGGCCAGAGCGAACACTGAGCAGCTGGAGGAACAAGCAAGGTGCCTTCTTGCCCCCCACCTGGGAAGTGTACTAACGTGAAAGCACCTCTGAACTCTGAGTCTCCACTGACCAACGACAACACCGGTGAGTGGGGTGAGGTGGAGGGAAAAATGAGAGGCACGTTAAATAAACATTTGTTTGTTGGACTATATTTTAGTGACTTTGCTCCAGAATGCTAGATTTGTGACTGGGAATGGAAACTTATATAACTGTTTTCTAGTAGGCCAAGATTTTTAAAATGCATTATTTGTCATGGTTGTTATCTCACTTCGTTGCTATCTTGAGAGCTCATTATGTTGGGGAGTTTCTGTACTAAACATTTTTATTATTATAATTAATTTTACATAAGAATGGTCATACTCGGTCAGACCAGTGGTCCATATAGCCCGGTATCCTGTCTTCTGACAGTGGTCAAGGCCAGGTGCTTCAGAGGGAATGAACAGAACAGGTAGTCAAGTGATCCATTCCCCTATTGCCCATTCCCAGCTTCTGGCAATGGGCTAGGGACACTCAGAGCATGGTATTGCATCCCTCCCCATCCTGGCTAATAGCCACTGATGGACCTATTCTCCAGGAATTTATCTAGTTCTTTTTTTTTTAATCCTGTTATCGTTTCGGTCTTCACAGCATCTCCTGTGAAGTACTTCCTTTTGTTTTTTTAAAACCTGCTGACTATTAATTTCATTGGGTGACTGCTAGTTCTTGTGTTATGTGAAGGATTAAATAACATTTCCTTATTCACTTTCTTCACACTAGTCAAGATTTTATAGACTCCCTATGATAATCCCCCCCTTAGTCGTCTCTTTTCTAAGCTGAAAATTCCCAGTCATTTTAATCTCTCCTCCTGTTTCATACCCCTAATCATTTTAGTTGCCAATCTCTGTACCTTTTCCAATTCTAATATATCTTTTTTGGGATGGGGTGACCAGATCTGCACACAGTATTCAAGGTGTGCACGTACCATGGATTTATATAGAGGCAGTATGATATTTTCTGTTATGTGTTTTGGTGTATTTTGCATTATCCTTATATTAAATGTGCATTATCCTAACAAAACATTTAATTTATTCATATCTCTTTTATACGTTGCAGGTCAAAGTGAAAATTAAAAGACAAAAAACAATACAACAATTTTTCCACTCCATTCCATCTACGTGAAAAGGCAGCAAAACACCAGGCCTCTGGACTGCATCAACATGCAGAACACCTTATAAGCCCACTTTCAAAGCCAATGTTAGAAGTACTTAATGAGTCTGCTAAGAATGCTGGAAACATAACACAGCTCATGCAAACAAACATGGCTGTGGCATCATACTTTCTATTTAAGCAAGAGATACCACACACTAAAAACTGGAGGCCAATGTTAAGTGCATTGTCACTTATTCATCCTGAAGTTGAACACTAGTTGCAAGCAAGACCAGGAAATGCTCACTATCTTCCTGCAAGAAACTCAACTGACTGGCTAGAAGCATGCAGTGCAACAGTGAAAGACTCAACAGTTGAAAAACTGAAGAACTATCTCACCACATTCAAAAAATTTGCATACATGGCTGATGAATGCACCGATGCAAATGGGCATCAAGTATTAAGTCATTGTGTATGTTATCTTGATGTCAGTGGTAGGCCAGTAGATGCACTTCTAGATGTTCAAGTTATAGAAAACACATTGGCTGCATCTGTGACAACCCACATCTTAGAAGAGTTAAATGCTTGTCAATTGGACCCCAAACAGATGGTTGCTTGTGCATTTGATGGAGCTGCAAACATCTCTGGAAGACATGGTGGAGTACAAGCTTTGCTCAGAGAAAAGTGTAACCCTAATCTCTCCTATACATACTGCAGAGGCCATCTACTCCAACTAGCACTAGTACGAGTTGCAGAATCTTAAGACATTAAAAAAGCTATAAATTCAATGTCTTCGTTATATTCTTTTTTCAGCAAGAGTCCAAAAAGACTGAATATCTTGGAATATATAGACGATATACTGGGACTGAAGTTCAAAGTAGTCCAACCTGGGAAACACTGCTGCCTTTCTCATGAGCGATCCTTGGCTGTTGTCTTAAAATTAATCCAGCCGTTATTACTAGTTTTGGAAAGTATCTACCAAGATGGGATGGATCTAAGTAGTGAGGCTGGTGGATTACTTTTGCTACTACATTCAGAGAAGACTATTGCCATTCTCTCTCTCGTAAATCTACTGTTGAAACCACTTGGGTCATTAAACAATGCCATCCAGGCATCTGCTACAAAAGTAGTAGATCTTTGTCCAGCAATAGAAGCTACATTTGGCTCAGAGAGCTATCCATTGAAAAAGTACTGGAAGAAGCAAAGATTTCAGTCCAGAAGTTGACTAATGAAAGCATTTATATTGAATCCTTAAGTGAAGAAGACAAGAAGTGTTTGTTAAGACAACTGAAAAAATACACAGACTTGATTCTTAAAAATCTATAACAGCGTCTTCTAGATTCTACTCAACTTATACGTAGCTTTTACAGATGCCCGTCCTATAAAACACCAACAGTTGAGTGGAGTGAGGCACTACCAGCAATGGGGCTGCCATGTGCTCAGGACAGAATAGAGAATTTGAACACAGAGTAGAATATCATACGATGAATGAATGAAGATTTGACTTCAACTTCTTCTTTATCATCACTAGTAGCTCGACTGGATCTTTGTGCTATGTTTCCTGGGATGAAAGAAGAAGGAATTCATCTCTTGCCACTCCCAGTCACAACAGCTACAGTTGAGAGTTCTTTTTCATCATTGAATAGAATTTTGTGTTCTGAAAGAAGTCGCCTTCTGCCTGATCATGTGAATGAACTAATGAGCATATCAGTTGAAGGAATGGAAGTACCAGACACACGAGAAGCCATTGAAGATGAACGCATTGTATTCGAGAAGTTCATTAACAGATTTGTGCAAAATTAGAACAGGAAACCAAGAAGGATGTAGACGTAGTGCTTCATAGAAGGCTTGAGTAGCCAACTTTAATTTGTGTGATTTTAAAACATGAGTTATATCTAATGAAATGGTCATGAAACATTTTTCAGTTTTTACTATGGTGCCATATAGCCCACCTTCACCCTCACGGTCTCACCCCTCACTGGCCCTGATACCCCCCCCCCTGTAAATTCGAACACCCCCCTAATTTCAATTCCTGGGGAAAATACTGCTCAGGGGGCTTCCTGGAAGCAGCAACATGACCCTCCCTCAGCTCTTAAACAGAAGCGTGGCTAGGTAGATCCACACTCTGCCTCTGCCCATTGGCTCCTCCTCCCTCACAGCTTCCATTGACTGCAGTTCCTGGTCAATGGGAGCTGCAGAAGTGGCGCTTGGGTCAGAGGAGCATAAAGTGCCCACTGGTCACACACCGCCATCTAAGAACTGAAGGTGTCATGCTTCTGGGGAGCTGTTTGGAGCCAGGTAGGGAGTCTGCCAGCCCTGCCAATCCCCCCACTTAGCTCAAGTGGAGGGCCTGGAGCTGCTACCCCCAGAGCACCTGCAGTGCTGGGAACCACTCTCCTTTTTGAGCATCCAAGTTTAGTCAGGGGTACATAATACAATTCATGGACAGGCCACAGGCTATGAATTTTTGTACACTGTCCATGACTTTTACTATAAATACCTGTGACTAAAGTGTAGCCTTAATCATCATTTAAAGACTTCAATTTATAGATAATCCACTATTTACTGCTTGTTCAAACCAGCAACTCCCATGCCACATGCTGCAGAGAAAGGCAAAAACCCTCAGGGTCTCCACCAATCTGACCAAGAGGAAAATCTTTTCCCAACCCCAAATATGGCGGCAATTAATTAGACCCTGACCAAGATGCACCTGTGAAAGAAATCTCTGTCGTAACTCAGAGCCCTCCCCATCTTGTGTCCCATCTCTGACTGTTAGGGATTTTTGCTACAGGTCATCACCAATGGCCTACATGCTGCTCTAGGCAGTCCCATCATACCATGACCTCGATAAATGTACCAAATTCAGTTTTGAAGCCAGTTAGGTTTTTTGCCCCATTTCTCTCCTTGAAAGGTTATTCCAGGATTTCACTACTCTATAGTATAGTAGACTTGCTGCTATTACTATTTACTATTCTTGGATGAAGACTATTTGGGCTCCCTGATTTGGTTACATTAAGATGTTTGAGTTTGATTCAGATGTGGTAATTTCTATTTCCATATCCTCATTTCTATTACCCACCCTGCCACTAGCCCTAAGATCCTCATTACCCTTATTAATACAAGAGGCAAAGTATTTGTTTAGGTGTTTGGCTGTACCTAGATTATTTTTAATCTTCACTTCCTCCTCAGTGCTTAGGAGGTCTCACTCCTTTTATTTTCTTTTTTATTTATATGGCTACTAGAAGATTTACCCAGCATTGCTCGAGTCTTTAACTCATTTGAATCATTGTTCCGGGGTAGGATTGGAGATGAGAGGTTCATTATGCTGGTTACCCTGGGGAGAGAGGATAACAGGCCCTCTCTCCTTGAAGTAGCTTGGGGCAAGGTAAGAAGCACCTCTCCATGGCCACTGAAGTTACAGCGGTCACAGCCAGGGGAGGGATGCATGTGAGGACCGACAGACACAGACAAACTCTGTGAAATATATAGTAGATAGCTGTCCCTTTCTACACCCCTACTCCCTGCTGGCCCAATGGGGTTATATCTGTTCTAGTCTACATCTCTGACCCCTTGCTGTCCCCCCGTGGTCATTCTGCAATATAACTCCCTCCTACCAGACCCCTCCCTTTCCCCTTTATGAGAAACAATCAAATGCCATGCACATCCCATGATCCTGGCATAACCAAACTCTGACTTTTTTTTAAAGTTAGGATAAAAGGACGCTGCATACCAAATGTGGTGGTCCTAGCTCTTACTGCTTAGGATGAGTTCTTGAGCAAATGAACTCACAGACACACAGACAAATGCACATTTCTAAAATATTTAGTAAGAAGAAGAAGAACAAACCTTTTACTGCTGGTTTTAAGTTTCCTTTGCAAGGTTCAATTCTGCCTGGCTTTTGGCATTTAGAGGTAGCTTTTCTCATTGATCCTTCTCATTCTTTGTAGACTTTCTGCTAGTTTTGAAAAAACCTGTTTGAGATGCTTGTTTACCCAATTTGGTCTGCAAGCCTTCACTATGATTCCCCCCACCTCTTTTCTTGCAACGAAGGCTTCAGGATTGCAATTTTGATATAAATTCCAAGCTTCCTTCACATTCAGTTCAGTCTGTTCCCTTAATTAATTCCCTTAATGTTTCTTAAAGTTTCCTCTTTTGAAATCAAAGACCACAGTTGCAGACCTGTTTTTGTTTATCCCTCCATTCCATTTAAACTGAATGAGCTTATTTCTCTTCCCTGGTCATGTTTTACTAAGGAAGTTTTCCAGTTGAAATAAAAAAATCTTGTGTAAAACACCCTAATCCTTTCTACACCAATTAAGTCAATGACACAAACAGAGAACAGGATCAGGTCTGCATTCCAGCAGTGTACCATGCACCATGGAAACAATGGAAATACTCCAAATTTCTTCAGGTCTGGCCAAGCCATGTTTGACGCTGGACCAAAGTAGGACAAGACACCGACACAACTCCTGCTGGGAGGGAGCTAAAATGACACAGAGCCGTGCCAGCTGTACTAGCTTTATGTCCCCCAAGAATTCCCTTAACTGGGAGAATTTACTGCTGTCCACCTGGGGCAGGTTTATAGGCCATTTGTGCTGCCTGAGCTGCCCACACTGGTGCTTTCACCTTGTGGATCATTTCAGTGAATGGTCTCTAACCACAGTCCCAAGCCTCCCAACATGCCCACTCCCAGAGTGGCATGCAGAAGAATACTGTGAAGCTCTGTCTTGAGACACCCAAACAAGCATGGGGTGGTGTAACATGGTGCTGTTAGCAGCTATAAACTGAGATCTTTGGCAGCAAGCACCCTGCTAAAGCAGATGCAACATAGACAGTTTGGATTTGAAGGAGGTAAAAGCCATGTTCCCTCTAATTTTTCCCATATGTGAGCAGAATGAATTTTACTATGTGCACCAGTGTGAAGCTGAGGGGTCACACATTACCTCCATTTTGGTGCACATAACAAAATTCATGCAGAGGAAGTGGGGTGAGGGGCTAGCAGTGTGGGAGGGAGCTCAGAGCTGGGGCAGAAAGTTGGGGTACAGAGATATGAGGACTCCAGATGAGGGGTGTAGACTCTGGGTTGGGCCAGGAATGAGGGGTTTAGGATATGGGCTACCCCAGGGCTACAGCAGGGAGAGAGGATTGCTCCTGGCTCTCTCTCCCCATAACAGCACCTGGCCTGGGAAGTGGAGGTAAGAGAGGCACCTCTCCATACTGCAGCAAATCCAGGGCTTGGGCTACAGGATAGACATACTTCCTCAACCACAGCAGGTCTGTGCTGGGGCTGGGTTTAGGCCACAGTAGGTCCAGAGCAAGGCAGGGGGAAGGGCACCTTTCCCCTGGCTACAGCCCATTCAGGACTCTTTTGAAGTCAGCAGACACTGGTCCCTCCCTTGGCCACAGCAGGTCCAACCCAGTCACATTCCCATAGTGCCTGTGTGTTACTTAATAGGTTGTTGCACAGCTTACAGGGAACTTAGGTAAAAGGGATCATTTGCACTTGATGAGCTAATTATCTCGCCAGCTGGAGAGCACAGTGAAGAAAGAAAGCTTTATAAAAGGCTGATCCAGAAAACCTGCTCCATCTGATTGCTGCAATGTTGTGATGTACCTGGAGCATACACTGAACAGAGGTACCCTGGTGTTCTGTGAATGCTGCTTATGTCACAAAGGGATTACCATATAGAATTTTCAAGTGTTTAAGAGAAAGCCTGTTCACAGGCAGCAAGAAATTGGTTCTGGTATTGGAGACATACAACCTAGCACCTAAAACAATATACTGCACATGTTGTAAGTTTATTTTTAAAAATTCTCTTCAGGTAGTAATACAGCTTGACACTAAGGTGCCAGAAGTTTATGCTGATTTACACCAGCTGAGATCTGGTCCAATGGGTTCTGTTGTTAATAGTATGTATTTACAGTCCCATTTTTTTTATACTGAGTTTATATACCTCAGTCTGAAAACACATACAGGGAGAAGTATGTGACGCTGGCTGGCTTTTAATCTTCACAAAAATGTCATGTTGACACTGATTTTGATTCATGACTCACAATGGTCTGCACTCCTCATATATGGCTGACCTGATCTAAAACAGTTTCCCTTCTGCAGACGAATTCTGTCACTCAGGGCAAAAAGACTATCTGGTAAGGCAGGAAATATGTGGGGGGCTGATGACAGCACTTCATTTCCAACACTTCATTTTGCACTAAGTACATAAATGGATTCCCAATGACTGTCCATCTTGCCCTCATGTCTGAAGTAATAGCTCTAAAAAAAATGGGTACATGGTGCTAATGATTGTGACGTCTAAAAAGGCAGTATTTAAGAGTTAATACTGGTGCCAATGTAAAGAAGCTCTCTCAATATTCTCAAGCCTTTATTTATTTGTAAGTAGGGTAACCAGCAGTCCCATTTTTAAAGGGACAGTCCCATATTTAAACCCTCCTGAAGGTGTCTCAACTTTTTCTTAAAAATGGGCAAATTGTCCCATATTTTCTGACTTCCCCTGTGACTGGCAGT